TCGAACCAAGGGCCTCATGCATGCAAGGCAAGCACTCTACCACTGAGCCACCTTCCCAGCCACTCTCTTACAATTTACTGGCAGGAGCCAATGGCTACATTCCTCCACCTGCAAGGAATGCTGGGTTTTTAGCCAATCATTCACATTCTCAACCACCTTGGGAAAGTCAACTAGAAGTTTTCTGTATCATTCTTGCTCTATAGATAGGGTTTTTTCTTTAACTTTTTAATTATTTTAATATTTTAGTGGTATTGGGGTTAGAACTCAGGGTTTTGCTCTTACTAGGCAAGTACTCTTCCACTTGAGCCACACTCTCAGCCCTTTGTTTTATGCAGATGCTGGGCTTGAACTCAGGGCCTGATCTGTTTCGCTCAAGGCTGGGACTCTACCACTTAAAACACACCTCCATTTGGGTAAGGGCCTTCTTGTAGCATCATAACTTTGCAGCAAGCATCACATAACAGCAAGTGTGCCAGCTCCTGGTTCTCAGTTCTTATAAAGCCACTAATACCAACATGGGGTACTTACCCTAATTTTTTTTTTTTTTTGCTGGTTGTGGGTGGGCCTGGACACTGTCCCTCAGCTCTTTAGCTCAAGGCTAGTGCTTTACCACTTGAGCCACAATGCTACTTCCGGCTTTTTCTGCTTATGTGGTGCTTAGGAATCGAACCCAGGGCCTCATGTATGCAAGGCAAGCACTCTACCACTAAGCCAAATTCCCAGCCTAGAAGTATATTTCTTTTTGGAAAATGTCACCCTTTTCCTTGCTATCTCCCAGTTTTTCCCTCCCACTCTCACCCACAAGTTTTGTAGTATCTTAGTGACTACCAGTGCTGTGTTTGTTTACCCTTTGCACATCTGGCTGTTTTGGTAGTTAATTGGGCTCAAGCTGGCTTCGAACCTTGATCCTCAGATCTAAGCCTCCTGAGAAGTTAGCATTACAGGTATGAGCCACCAGCACCTGGAAGAAACAAGAATTTTAATTGTTTTCAAGATTGGGTAAAACTTTAAATCAATCAAAAGCTCAGGCATATCCAGGTCCTGGGTTCAAGCCCCAGGGTTAGCACATACACATACATAAACACACAAACACATATACACACATACACAGTATTGGGGCTGGGTGTAGTGGTTTGAATGCCTGTAACTTCAGCTCTCAAGAGACTGAGATAAGATTTCAAGTCCATCTTTGCCCAAGATAATCAAAACAAGCACCAGGCAGCCTGTCCTGCATTAAACAGAGACTTTGTCTCAACAAATATATGTTCATTTTTAAAAATAGCTGCATTATATATTATTACAACACTCTTAACTGAAAGTATACTTACAAAAGAAGTTGAGAGGTTTTATCTTTCTGCACTTTTTTTTTTTGTCAGTACTGGGGCTTGAACCCAGGGCTTAGGCGCTGTCTCTAAGCTTTTTTGCCAAAGGCTAGCACTCTACTACTTTAAGCCACAGCTCTACTTCTGGTTTTTGGGTGTAGCCATTCCAGATGTTTATACAATTCAGAAACATACTAATGTTCACAAGCATATACTCCACTCATTAGCCATCAGAATGATGTTAGGGTATGTCATGTTGCCTCTAGAAAAGTCCACTGTGACAGATGTGTAAAAAAGGTAAACTATTTCTCATTATTATAACAGGTTTTGACTGTGCAGATACACTGATTTTTTTTTTTTTTGTCAGTCATGGGGCTTGAACTCTGTCCCTGTGCTCTTCAGCTCAAGGCAAGTGCTCTACCACTTGATTCACAGAGCACTTCTGGTTTTCTAGTGGTTTATTGGAGAAAAGAGACTCATGGACTTTCCTGCCTGGGCTGGCTTTGAACCATGCTCCTCAGATCTCAGCCTCCTGAGTAGCTAGGATTACAGGCGTGAGCCACCCAGCACCCGGCTCACTGAAAGAATCTTAGTATTAGAGTACATTTTCAAAAATAGCTGATATGGTATGAAAATGATCAGACAGGCAACAAAAAACTTACCTTTATTTTTAAAACCAGTAGGCAAGCCAGGTGCTGGCTCATGCTTGTAACCTTAGCTACTCAAGAGAGGCTGAGATTGCAGTTCAAAGCCAACCTGGCCAGGAAAGTCCATGAAACTCTTATCTCCAATTAACCACCAGAAAACCTGAAGTGGCACTGTGGCTCAAGTGGTAGAGCGCTTGCCTTGAGCTGAAGAGCTGAGGGACAGAGCCCAGGCCCAGAGTTCAAGCCCCACAACAAACAAAAAACCTCCCAAAATAAAAACACCCCCCACCCAAAAAAAACCCCAGGAGGTAATAAGCACTCAACTACCCCACCACTGCACACAACAAACAGCGTAATTGAAAAGTGTACTTTAAAAGGCAATTTCAAATCTTCCTATACAGGTAATCATATATACTTACACAAAGTTTCCAATCTAAAAGTCATTTCTGTATTTTGTATCCTACTATTCAAAGCATGTGGAATATTCAAATATTTCAAAGCTTCCAAGGATATCCCACTCCTCATCACCCCAACAGAGAATGTTTGAAGAAATGTGGGTGGCTGAACCCCACTAAGGATATTTTAGTGTTTTCTGCTTGTGCCTTGGACTGAGGACCATCCATTTACTATATACATCAAGTTTGCTTGTTAGCATACGGTAGAGGATGACATTCTCAAGTGCAACTGGTTACAGATCAAAGGAACTCCTAGACAAACCTCATTTTGCTCTTTGTTCTGCTGTTCCAGTCTTTGAGAGATGGGGCAGGCTAATGCTGTTTTTCAGAAAACCTTCCCAGAAATACTTCTTTAGAAAACCTCAGAAACACTAAGAAGGAGCAGTGTGCTTAGGCACCCTACTTTTCAATCCAGCTCTCAAATGTCTTTAATACTTTTTTTCTGTCTGCACAGTAGATCCAACTGTGTGGCCTACCCAGCCCAGTGGTCCTGGGTAACACGGTGACTTATCTATTCTGTTAGTGAAATCTGACATGGTGACAAACTGATTAAAATTATTTACACTGAAGTATGATTAATGGATAGTAGTACCAAGTGATTAAGAACTAAGGGTGATGATTAAACTGATGGCTTGAACTCAGGGCTCTGTGCTCAAGGCTAGCGCTCTACCACTTGAGCCACCAGGCCACTTCCGGCTTTTTCTGAGCAGTTTATTGAAGAGTCTCAAGGACTTTCCTGCCCGAGCAGGTTTCGAACCGCGACACTCAGATTTCAGACTCCTGAGTAGTTAGGATTACAAGTGAGAGCCACCTGCGCCCGGCTAGCTGATGATCTTAATAAACTTGTGAAAGGGCGAAAGGACGGCTTAGCTTTTCTTTCCAAACACACTAAAGAGCGATAAGCCATTTAACTTTTAATCAAATTATACTGATCAGCCTATTAGTGAAGGGCAATCCCGCTAGGACAAAAATGCCGTGTGAAGTCTTGAAGTTACGTGTGGCGGCGCCACAGGTTTGGTGTCTGGTTCTCGGCAGTGCCGTGGCCATTCCATTCGTTCCCAGATTGAGGCGAGGCTTTCCCCCACTCCTAAGTCAACTTCAGAGTTAGCAAAACTCCAGGCTGTGTTTACCAAGTGCACTTGTGCGCTACGGTGGGTTCTCGCGAGCTCTCTTCTCCCGCGGTTCGGCCCCCGGGCCTGGCTGAGGGGGACGCGGCGGCGGCCCGGTCCAGTTCCCCGCAACCTTGCGGTCCCCAGACTCCCGTACCCGCTGTGGCCCTTCACTCAGCAGGGACACAGGGCGGCGGCCGCGGAGATTCAAGGCCTTAGCTAGCTACGCGTGCCACAGGCCCGAGGGACGACGGCCACGGGCCGCCACCCTCGAGAGCGTCCCAGGACACGGCGTGCGACAGCTGCCGGCGGCGTACGAGTCCTCCCCTTTCTTTAACCCTCCTTCGCACGCAGCCTCACCCTCCCCGGAAGTCCCTCTGACGCCACTTCCGGTGCGGACGGCCAGTCTCCCAGCGGGAGCGAGCACGCCAGTGCGCGGCAACTGTGTTCCCGCCTCTCCCCCCCCCTCCGCCACCACTCCCCTTCAGGTTTCTCGGAGCGTGACGTGCGCGCGCGCTCCCGACCTCGCGTCAGGGTTGAGGGGCGGGGCAGGGAGGGGGTGAGGCCAAGGGAGAGAAGCTGGGAGGGGTAGTGGAGATTCAGGGCCCAACCAGCGAGCGTTGTCGCCCGCCCGCCCGCCCTTCCTCCCAGGAGCGGAGAGGGAAGGGGAGGGGCGAGTTGGGGCCGGCCGCGCAAGCCCGGAGCCTCCTCGTGGAGGGAGGAGGGCCGCTCTGCCACCTCTGTTGGTGGCGGCTGAGGAAGAAAGTCCAGGCCTCAGCCGGCCGCCCCCGACTCCGAAACGCCCCCGCCCCCATCTCCTCGGAAACAGCCCCCCGCCCAGCCCCGCACACCCGCCGCCCGGGCCGGGAGCCGCGGCCCGGCCGCCCCCGCCTCGCCCCGCCCCGCCGCCTGTCCCCGTGGGCCGCAGAGTGCGCCAGGCCCTAGGCCGGGAGTTGTTGTCAGGCCCAGGCCGCTTCCTTCCGAGGCACCCGCGGGGTGTCGCCGCCGCCACCCCCGGAGGACGACGTCGACGCCGAGCAGCGGGCGGCGGAGGCGTGTTGTTGTCTCGCCCTCTCCCCTCCCTCCCTCGCTCGCCCCCGACGTCAGGGCGCCATGGAGTGAAGCGGCGGCCGCGGCGGCACTTCCGCGTTGCGCGGCCCGAGCCCCCGCGCGGCCGAGCCGCTCCCCCACCCCGGGGGCACTTGGAGGACTCCGGCCTTCCCGCGGGCCGGCGCCCGGCGCATCTGGTGGTTGTTTTTTTTTCTTTTTTTTTCCTCTCTTTTTGCTGCCGACAGTGGGACAACGAGTGCGATCGCCGCCGGCTCCTCGGCTCGGATTCCTGCTTCCCTCGGGCCCGGAGGCCGCTGCGTACCCTACCGCGACCTGGAACCCGGGGACCCGAGTCCCGACCCGGATTATCGTGGCGCGCCTCTCCGCCGCGGCTCCGTGTCCCTCCGCCGTCCCCACCGCTCCCGTTTCCGGCGGGGGACGATGGCCGGGATCTGACCCCGAGGAGGCCGCACCCGCGCCGCGCTGTGCGGCGGGCTCCTGGCGATGCCGAGCAGCTCGGACACGGCGCTGGGGGGAGGCGGGGGCCTGAGCTGGGCGGAGAAGAAGTTGGAGGAACGCCGCAAGCGGAGGCGATTCCTGTCCCCTCAGCAGCCGCCGCTGCTGTTGCCGCTCCTGCAGCCGCAGCTCCTGCAACCGCCGCCGCCCCCGCCGCCTCTGCTCTTCCTGGCTGCCCCCGGCACGGCCGCCGCCGCAGCCGCCGCCGCCGCGGCCTCCTCCTCCTGCTTCAGCCCCGGCCCCCCTCTGGAGGTCAAGCGGCTGGCGAGAGGCAAGAGGCGCGCAGGAGGGCGGCAGAAGCGGCGCCGCGGGCCCCGCGCCGGGCAGGAGGCGGAGAAGCGCCGGGTCTTCTCGCTGCCCCAGCCGCAGCAGGACGGCGGTGGCGGCGCCGGCGCCGGGAGCGGCGGGGGTGTGACCCCGCCGGCGGAGTACGAGGATGTGAGCTCCCAGTCCGAGCAGGGGCTGCTGCTGGGGGCGGCCAGCGCGGCAACGGCGGCGACGGCTGCCGGGGGAACGGGCGGCAGCGGCGGGAGTCCGGCCTCCTCCTCCGGCACCCAGCGGCGCGGGGAGGGCTCGGAGCGCAGGCCCCGCCGGGACCGCCGCGGCAGCAGCGGCCGCAGCAAGGAGCGCCACCGCGAGCACCGGCGGCGGGACGGCCAGCGCGGCGGCAGCGACGTCTCCAAGTCCCGCGGCCGCCACGGCCACGGCGGCGAGGAGCGGGCCGAGGCCGCCAAGAGCGGCAGCAGTAGCAGCGGCGGCGGCCGGCGCAAGAGCGCGTCGGCGACGTCCAGCAGCGGCAGCGGCAGCCGCAAGGACCGGGACCCCAAGGGTCACCGCAGCCGGACCAAGTCGGCCAAGGAGCCGCCCTCGGCCTATAAGGAGCCGCCCAAGGCCTACCGCGAGGACAAGGCCGAGCCCAAGGCCTACCGGCGGCGGCAGCGCTCCCTGAGCCCGCTGGGAGGCCGGGACGACAGCCCAGTGTCTCACCGAGCGTCGCAGAGCCTGAGGAGCCGTAAGTCCCCGAGCCCGGCCGGAGGGGGCGGCAGTCCCTACTCGCGGCGGCCACCGCGCTCGCCGAGTCCCTACAGCCGCCGCCGCTCGCCCAGCTACAGCCGCCACAGCTCGTACGAGCGGGGCGGCGACGTGTCCCCCAGCCCCTACAGCAGCAGCAGCTGGCGCCGCTCGCGCAGCCCCTACAGCCCGGTGCTCAGGTGAGTCCCCCGCCCGGCCCGGTCCCCGGCCGCCTCCCCGGGGGCAGGGAAGGTGGGGCCGGGCTCCTCAGGGCCCCGGAGAGGGAGGCCCGCGCAACTGCTGGGAGCGGGAGGCCGGCCGCGCGCCGGGAGCCGTTTAGGGGCGTCGGGGGGGGGCGGGGGTGGATCCTCGAGCGGGCGGACCTCGGGAGTTCCGAATTTCAGACTTGTTGCGCCAACAGCCCTTACAGCCCCTCGGCATTGCCTTTGCTTTGCCCGCACCGGCCGTGGGGCTCAGCCCCCGGGGCGGGGCCTTACTCCCGCCTGGGAGCTCTGTGGGAGGAGAGGTGTTCTTAGGCCCAGGGTTTTGGGGGGACCTAGGTAGAGGGGGCCAGTCAGAATCTGGTGCTTGCACGGGAATTAGACTTGGTTAGTACGGGGACGGTGAAAGGAGCCTCTGAAAAGTTTCCCACGTGGAACTTGGTAGTAATAAAATTTGAACACCAAGAGGATTATTTTGCGATATTCTTGTGTGGAAGAGCCTTTTGGCTGAGTTCTCAGAAGTATAATTAAAAAAAAAGTAGAAAACAAGTGACAAGATTGTAATGTCTCTGATGGTTTGTGATCCTACTCAACGGAACCAGTAGCATGGGTGGCGTGTCCCAGGGTAACAAGTGACTTTCGTGCCATGAAAGCCGGAAACTTCTGTGGGGTTAGCTAGACCTTTAAATATTAGGATCTTCCGTTCAGACATTTTAACCAAGTGACATTGTAGTAAATTCTTTGTGGCTGTGTCCAGTTATACAGTAGTTTACTACAAAAGTGCATACATTGGTACATCCTTTTCCATGACACGGAGTGAATCAAAGTTTTTGAATATTTTGTTATCTTGTAGGTTCTTATATTTTTGAAGATGAATGGAACCTAATAGGCCGTACGGTAGGGTATTGCTCTTTTTTTTTTTTTTGCCAGTCCTAGGGCTTGAACTCTAGGCCTGGATGCTGTCCCTGAGCTGCTTTTGCTCAAGGTTAGCTAGCACTCTACCACTTGACCCACAGCGCCACTTCGGGCTTTTTCTGTGATTCCCTGGAGGTAAGAGTCTATGGACTTTTCTTCCCAGGCTGCCTTTGAGCAAGCCGCTATCCTCAGATCTCAGCCTCCTAAGTAGTGGGAATTACAGGTGTTAACTACCGGTGCCTGGCTGTATTGCTCTATTTTACTGGTTCTAGTTTTTAGTAGCTAAGTGGATGTTGAGTATATGACCCCTAAGTTTGGGTTATGTCATACCTCAGAACCGGAAATGCATTTGTAAAATTGGCTGATCTCTTTCAGGTGCAACTGTGGAGACGTGAATAGAAACAAGTTGGGTCTTTAAACCAAAACATCTGTATAGATTTCTTCATCTATACTTACTGCCTATTACAACTCTTTTGCCAAATATAGCTAATAGACCTATTTCCTCTTAGTTACATTTTATTGTTTGTTTGTTTATTTTTGGGTCTAGTTGTGGGGCCTGAGCCCAGGGCCTGGGCGCTGTCCCTCAGCTCTTCAGCTCAAGGCTAGCGCTCTATCACTTGAGCCACACCGCCACTCCCGGTTTTTTACTTTTTGCTTATGTGGTGCTGAGGAATCGAACCCAGGGCCTCATGCATGCAAGGCAAGCGCTCTACCACTGAGCCACCTTCCCAGCCCCAAGTTACATTTTAGATTTGCTGAATGATTTACACTTTTTGAAATTGAATTTATATTGTAAACTTTATTAGGTTTCAGGACTATACCAATTTTAAGTGTGTGATGAAACTTAAGACTGGGTTTATGCCATTAGGCTTTAGTTTCTACACATTAGTAAGGTCCTTTATTATACAGTAACAGTATGTTTTATATAAAATATGGTAGGGTCTGTATGATTAGGAGTATCTGTGTAAAATACTCACTGAGCATTTATTATTACATGCTCCTTAGTAAAGCTGTTTTAGTGACTGGAATTTAGTAGGAAAGAAAGGTAAGTCCTTGTCCTCAGGAACTTTGCATTCTAGAGGATCATCAATAATTCAGCCTTTTCCTGGTGTATGGACCACTAGGATTTCTTTCTTTCTTTTTTTTTGTTGGTCCTGGGGCTTGAACTCTGGGCCCAGGGCGCTGTCCTTGTGCTCTTCAGCTCAAGGCAAGTGCCACAGCGCCACTTCTGGTTTTCTGGTGGTTTATTGGAGATAAGAGGCTCATGGACTTTTCTGCCCTGGCTGGCTTTGAACCTTGATCCTCAGATCTCATCCTCCTGAGTAGCTAGGATTACAGGCGTGAGCCACCAACGCCCGGCAACCACCAGTATTTCTAAAGGAATTTCTTTAGAAGTTTTTTGAATGTCTTAGCCAACATTCCTCACAGGTAGCCTTTTGGTATGTGCTGAATATGTGCAGTAATAGGAAGCATATTATTTTGAGGTATCCAGCTCCATTAGATTTTGGACTTGAGTTCTGATATTGGTTTACCTAGTTTGCTTTCTTCTTCTCCCTTTGCCTCTGCCTCTTCTTGCTTCCTCCCATCCCTTACGCCCCTTTTCCTTTCCATTTTCCCTTCGCTCTTCCCTTTTCCCTTTCCCTTTTCCAAGGTTGAACCTGAGACTAGCCCAGGTATCTATCTATCTATCTATCTATCTATCTATCTATCTATCTATCTATCTATCTATCTATCTATCTATCTATCTATCTATCTATCTATCTATCTATCTATCTATCTATCTATCTATCTATCTATCTATCTATCTATCTATCTATCTATCTATCTATCTATCTATCTATCTATCTATCTATCTATCTATCTATCTATCTATCTATCTATCTATCTATCTATCTATCTATCTATCTATCTATCTATCTATCTATCTATCTATCTATCTATCTATCTATCTATCTATCTATCTATCTATCTATCTATCTATCTATCTAGTGAAAATACCTTACAGAGGGGTTACAATTACATGGGCAAGGTAATGAGTGCATTTCTTATCAAGCATTGTTGCCTCCTCCTTTGTTATCCCTTCCCATCTCCTACCCCCCCACATCCTCCCCACCCCCCCACCCCCCTAGCCCAGTTTTTTAGCAAGACTATTGAAATAGACTTTTCCTAAACTATAAGTAAGTGAAAAATTTGACTTTTGTAATGTATTCATCTTTACAGATATCTAAAATGCCTGAATTGTTGAATAGTTTGACTATTCAACTATTAACTGCTATATTTAACTCTTTGGAATGGTACTAAGCAACCTTGTATGGTAGGTTAATGGTGAGGACAGTTTGTCATGTCTTTGAGGTCTTTTTGTTTAGACCAAAGTCTCTTTTACCTAAGGAATGGTTTACAGATTTTTCTTTTTGGCATCATGTTAATTATTGTTTATCATATGTTCTGCTTAAACATGGGGACTAGAACTAACAGCTAAAATAGCTGACAGAAAAACTTTAAGTTTTATGGATTGGGAGAGTGGCTTAAGGGTAGAGTGCTTGCCTAGCATTCATGAAGCACTGGGTTCCATTCCTCAGTGCCACAAAAACAGAAAAAGCTGGAAGTGGCTCAAGTGGTAGAGTGCTAGCCTTAAGCAAAAAGAAGTTCAGGAACAGTTTCCAAGCCCTGAGTTCAAGCCCTACGACTGGCCAAAAAATAAAGAAAAACTTAAGTTTTGGGTTGGAGGTATGGCTTAAGTGGTAAAAGTCTTGCTTAACTTTACCCAAGTGTTGTCAAAAAACAAAAACAATCTAAAAGCATAAAGCAAAATTTCGGAGTTTAAAGATAAATATGTCATTACTGTTTTGGACAGTTAATTGAATTCACTTGTAGTATTATGTAAAAAATTGAATTCTCTTTAGCTTTATATAAAAAGCTCTATTTAAGCCAGGTTCTGGTGACTTATTCTTGTAATCCTAGCTACCCAGGAGGCTTGAGACCTGAGTTCAAGCACCACAACAACCCTCTACCCCCCAAATAAAATCTTCTTTATTTGGAGTTTTGTAATTGTGGTAGGTGACTCAAGTTCTTTAATGAACAGATGATTGGAAATGTAAGCTTCATGAAGGCAACTGGCTTATCTTTCAGCATTCTACTCAGTACCTTGCACACTTAATAATTGTTGAATAGGTAAGTTTTACTGAACAAACTGTTCATGCTGTAGATACTTTAAGTATGTATTGTAGAGCATGTGTTATGCTGTAAGAAATAGCAATGTGATCTTTTCCTAGCTCATGGTTTACCCATTAATGAACTATCAGTGTAGATATTTTTAAGAAAGTGCATATGCATTCAAAATAGCATGTTGTCATATCCTAGAGTAAATCCCTCTATTCAAGTGATTTCTGCTCCACAACCTACTTTTGTCTTCATTTGAATCTCTAGTCTTCAGCTCATGCATTTCTTGTAATTATTTTCATATCTTTTAAACTTGTTTAGCTTTATCAGGTTTTCTTTCTTTTTTTTTAAATCTGTCATGGGGCTTGAACTCCAGGCCCAGGTGCTATCCCTGAGCTCTTTTTCTCAACTAGCGCTCTACCACTTTGAGCCACAGTGCCACTTCTTGATTTCTGGTGGTTAATTGGAGATGAGTCTCATGGACTTTCCAGCTCTGCTGGCTTTTGAACCATGATCCATCCCAACCTCCTGAGAAGCTAGAATTACTGTACAGGCCAGGTGTGGAGCCACCAGCACCCAGCTACTATTTGACTTTTGAGATGTTCAGAGCCACATAATCCTCCTGATTGGCCCTGTAATAAATGTGAATTGTAATGAGAAGGAAAAGAAGAGAGTGGTATTGATTGTAGTGTTCTGTAGAGTGTCACGGCATTGATAAATGCCTAATGGGACATTGACTCCCAAACCTTTGTGATAGAAACTTTCAACCATTGATGGATTGGGAAACTCAAGCTCCAAAAATTTAAGTTATTTGCTCCAAGGTCAGCTTGGATTCACACTTGGGGGTTGAAAGTACATGCTTAAATAGTGTGTTGAACTAAACTGTATTTGATATTCAGGGGTGC